CTCCCCCGCGGTGGCTTCCGCGCTCGGCTCTCAGAACTGGCGTGAGGTGTTTTCGCGCGAAAATGTGTCATCCCCTCATGTCATGAGACATTTTGGATCGAATTTCCTTGATCGGATATGATCTGCGCACATATAGAGTAGTTCGCGTCACTGTACCACTTCCTAAAAAGGTGATCATCGAAGATTTTTTTTTTTTCTTCTTTAATTTGCCTGCGAACAAAAAATGTACTTTATTTCACCGAGGTATATGTAATTTTTTTTCCTGTTTATTGACCTGAGAAATTTAATATATCCTCACACATTCTTAATCATTAGTTTTCTTTTGTTTCTTGTACTTATAATAGGGTTAACGTGCTCCAAATGTGTCTCGTTCGGGCCGCTTTTCCACGATCACCGACCAAGAATTCGAACCAAAGGAACCAAAGGGGACTTCTGACCAGAATTTTTGTCCCAATTTTCAGATTTGCCTCCCATATTCTCTGTCTCTTCGTATATTGCTGGACAGTTTTAGTGGGGCCCCTTAACGCACAAAGCGCAGGATTTCTTATGGTTAACGAAGTTTCTAGTACTAGGCATAATATCCAGGCTGAATTGATGCTGATTATGAGAATCCAATTGATGGTATTTTGCGATGTTTATTTCTACATCTGCTGAGTATATTCTTGTTATTTTCCTTTTTTTGTCGCAATCAGAGCACCGTCCCTCTAGAAGGGTCCGAGGCCCCTCGTAGTAGAACATCAAATGGACTTATTTATGCAAACCGGAACTATTTGCATTATGGCGTGAGCCCTGTTATGTATACATTATTATGGGTATCAAGGCTCATGTCTTGATGCACATAGTTCCGTTTGGTAGAAATGCGTCCAAATGGAATTAATCTCAAGTCAACTCATCAAATAACAGACTAAAAAACAGTACAGAACTAAAAAAGAGTGGAACAGAACAGGACATTACAATTTGCAACATTTCATAGTCATTTTTTTATCAAAAATAATGCTAAAACAGCTGAGAATTGTTTAGAATGGAAATAAAGTTTTCAAAATTTTCCACGTTGGGCCTTCACACCTCCGCAATTAATGGGAAAGATGTTTTCTCCTGAAGGGGACCTAAACTTAAAATTGCAGAGTGAAATTCAAATAGTCAGACCGACCCTGTTTCTATTGATAATCCTAATAGGTAATACACTCAGAGCTCATGAATAAATTATTTTTTAGGAAAAATATTTGATAGAAAAGCACCGTATTAATGCGTAAAAAAATCAAAAACAGCGAGAAAAACCAGAGGAAAGACACATAGTAAACTTAAGAAGAATATGCACCAGAGCACGTGAGATGGAATTCAATGCGGATGATCATGATCGAGATAGAGCAGATAGGTTTTGATGGACAGCGAGTATTTCAACCTCCCTACTCGCTCACGCAGAATATATCTCGTTATGTAGGTGAGCTTGACCATAGACGTTGAAACACCTTTTCAAATAAACAAAACAAAAACAAAATAACGCATCCTGTGCCTTCTCCGGAGATTTCGTATCGTTCTTTTATCTTTAAAACAGTTTATCAGTAGCACAGTCCTACTCTCAGGGCATGAATCGACCCTGTCCAATGAAGTTTCTATGATGTATACTGAAATGTGTGCCTCCTTTGTCAGAAACTATGGAAGGAAGGAGTCGTGAACTGAGGATAAAAATAGTTAGGTGCATTCTACGGCTACATGAGTCAACGGAGAAACAATGTCATAAAATGGCCATAAAGTGCATTTTACCATGTAGTTGCCAGTTGATGCATTTTCCATTTACTTAGACTTTTTTTTCAATCCGATGATTTTGTTTGAAAAATCTTGCGTTCATGGCAAAGTAGCAGCAGATTTCTTATGTGTTCAATCATATTCTTCCCTTTTTCCACCTTTAAATGTAGCATTATTTTCTAAGACGAGAGAAGTTAGGGGCCGCAACTCACTTTTGGGGACGCAACGTTGCTGTATATTTTAACAATCAAATAATCATTCCAAAAATTGACAATGTCGCGATAAAAATCAGTAATAGTTTACTTTGTCGGTACAATAGGCAAGGCTGGATCTAAGTTATGTAAAGAAACAAGGAAAGCGCCCACAGAGTTAGTGTCAAATGCGACGAACACAATACCAATTTCATTTTAACTCCTGGATGCAACTATTCGCGCTCCATGGATGTCCGTGTTGCATACACACGGAAACGAAGGCGTTTTGACTGTCCAGGCATTAACCACTTCACCCGCGTCTTGTGCTCATGTGCTGTCTGGTACTGTCGAAAGAGTGAGTGACACGACTTATTGGGGGTACGAAATCAACGAACATAATATGACAAGTTGATGCTCACCGAGAAAAAAAACTCAGTGATTCTACCGTTACAACGGTAGGAATATCGCACGGGATTCCACGGTAGTAGAACCGTGAATTTTGATTCTTGTAACGATGAGCACAGTGATATGACCGTGTTCATCGTAATATTACTGTGGGCACAGACATGATATTATGAGCATGGTTATGCTACTGTGCTCATCAATAATATTACCAAAATCCACGGTTCCACTACCGTGGCATCCCGTGTGACATTATTACCGTGGTACACAGAAAAAAATGGATGGTGCTGACGACAGAACCTTTTGTTCATACGGCTCCCACAGTTTCTTTGTTACACTTACAGAACTTTTCTGTTGTGAGAACAGAACTTCTGTCGTGGGAACAGAGTACTCTGTTCCCACGACAGAAAGTTCTGTAAGTGTAACAAAGAAACTGTGGGAGCCGTATGAACAAAAGGTTCTGTCGCCAGCACCATCCATTTTTTTCTGTGTAAACGTCGAATAACCGTGTTTTTTTTTGGTTTTCACATATATATGTGCTTCAACAGATGCATTGGATCGAATGCTATCGGCGGTGGTTATGATTCCCACCGAGCAATTACGATGGCTTTGTATTGTGATGGATGTGCAATGGATTCCTTCGACCGAAGAAGCTTTTCGTAACATAATGGTGTGGATGAATACTTCTCCTCCGTGTTGGGGCTAATTTCCCCTAGACTGATAGGAGTAGAGCTACGTAGTTACCTCCATTAGACCTCAAAGCTCCCTTACCCAAGGCGGAGAATCTATGTCAATCCACGCGAACTCGGTATTCACAATTAGCCTCCATATCCAATGAGGAATCTCCTCATCTATCAGGGCTGAATTTAGGGGGTGGCCACATGGGCCGCGGCCCATGGCGGCAAATTTTGCAATTTTTTTGAATGTAGCTATAAAGAAAAATCGGACCCAGAAAAAAATTACAGACGAAAAATGGCGACAAAATCTCTCATTTCCCGAGAGCGTATACTTAATATTTTCGTCTTTCTGTGATACAGTAGACAGCACCTTTAATTAGTCCAGTTACGACTAAGAGAGAACCCGAACACGCAATTTGGCCTGGAGCGGCGCGGCGCAGAGAGCAATGAAGACGAGAACTTGAGATGAAAAGGAGAAACCCTCGGCGCGGCGCGGCGGTCGGCATGCATCACACAGCACTCATAGCAGCGCCTACAAGACTGCATGAATACCTCACGCATTGCGTCAAAGACCGCGCGGTCAGCAGCGGGCGGCGCGGCGCGCGGCGGCGTGAAACGCATAGTGCCTGCAAGACTGCATGAATACTTCTCGCATTGCGCCTAACACAGTGCAGTCAGCGCGCCGCGCTGACTGAAGTTAAAATTATTAAATCACATTTATGTTAGTTCTTTCATAATTTGTTCGTTCATTTCATATAAATGGAAGGCTTTGTCCACACGGAGATAGGTTTACGGAACTTAATTTTCGTGCCAAGTTCTATGAACTTCTGCTAGTATAGTGATGACAGGGCTTTCGCAGAAAACGTGTCCAACACGAGTAAACGCGTTTTATGCACTCCTCCCCCTCCGGCACGTTCACTTGATGGTTTTTATTGATGTTTCAACACAAATGAGATGGGGGCGGCAAAATACAGGCGGCCCATGGGCGGCAAGTAAGTAAATCCGGCCCTGTCATCTATTGGAATAAAATCCCATCTTACCCATTGTGAAAGAATCTTGTCCTTATAGGAATTAATTCTCATATAATATTCTTAATCCAAACCAAATTTTATGTTATTCGGAGGTCTATCCTGCTTTATGGCTTCGCCATACCAGGTGACTCCTCAACTGTACACGTGGGATTGTTGGGCTCTCTATGCGTGAGGGGCCCTTGCACTTACTTAAGCAGCGTGTGATTTTGGCCTAACTATCTTCAGGGGCCCCTTCACACATAAGGAGGGGAGGTTCTTCTAGTTGAGGAGTCATCTATTACGACGAAGCCATAAAACAGGGTAAACCTCTAATGTCATAAAAAGATCGTTTCGAATAAATGGTTTCTTTGATAATGAATAAATAAGCCGCGCCAGGAAGAACAAACGACGCCAGAGGCAGATCCAGCAATTTGGCAACACCGGATTTTCTCCATTTAAAGCTATGTTAAATAATCGATTCTTGTCGGAGCACTTGCCCCCTCTAAGAATCAATACATTTCCATGGGTTTAAATGGAGAAAAGCAACGTTGCCAATTTGCTGGATCCGCCAATGAACGGCACTCCCTATTACTATATGAAGGACGCGCAGTCTTATTCTTCACAATATCAACATAATTGCGCACTTTATTAAACCCCATTCAAGATGAAAAATTAAAGTCAAATTATGATAAAAATACAAGTTTTAATACTAAAAGTTTTATATTGTCGGACATAAAAGTTGAAAAACTTTAAAATCTCTTGAGGAAAAGATGAAAGGAAACATCATTAGAGGGGAACAAATATCTTACGCTTAATACGTAGAGCGCGAGAGCTTATAAATGCCCATTGAGGAAGTAAAGGGAAATCTTGGTCTGTTGGTTTGTGTCTTACGCAAACGCACAAAGGAAGACAAATGAAAAGAGTTTAAATTGAGCCTAAAACCTCCAGAGAGCGATTTGGGAAAGTTGTTCTCTTAATTTGCTCGTATTTATGCAAATCATTCTAGTAGTCCTTAATTTGAGGTTTTCGAAAGCTATCTTTCAAATATTAAAAATGTGCAGGAAGTATAATGCAATCCTCAATAATAATATGATGAGACCAAATATTGATAATTTGCAGTTTTGACCTGTGCTCCACAAAACAAAAAATTATAATGAAATTTTATTCTAAGCCTAAATATATAAATTAAATCACAGATACAGCGTATAAATAAAACCCTTATCAATTGGATGAATAAATAAATTGATACATTTAATCATCGAGACATAAAGTTAAGGACGGTGTTTTGAAGAAGTTAATCTCCCCTCTGCATTCACATGACGAGCTTGGGGTTAGTTTCAATTCTATGTTTTAGTTTCTTCGTAATGTCCAGATGCATGTATAGAACGAACAATAAAACCAGTAAATTGGAAATAGTACGCCAAACGGTTTCAATTAAACAATTGTGAATTAATCAAACAGATCATGAGCCCGAGACATTGGAACTTTTAGAAGGGATTGTTCCACCAGATTAAAAAGATCGGTGCTGGTGCGTGTCATTGAATAGTCAGGAATTGCTGAACAACTTTTTTCCTCGTTTGTGTCATCATATTAATTCCATTTCACTAAAGTTCTTACAACCAGGCTAAAATTGGTGGTAGTCATCCGCAATTAGTTGAGGCAACCAACGAAAAGCAATCTTAGGATCCAAATCCCTAATTTATTCATATTAAAAATGTTAGCACTTAGAATCCTTGGACATGTGCACTTTTGACCCGGGAGTAAAGACAATATTGTTCTATAAGACAGGGACGTGATGTTTGGCAAGAGGGAGCTTAAGTCCTCTACTTTCTTATGGGGAATTTAGAAAATTGTAAAGCAAGTAACCAAGTCTGCAGAGAGGGGGAAATGTATGTTTAAAAGTTAAAGTGAACATATATTTTTGCCTCCCCTTTCTTTTTCCCCGCTTTCACAATACTCCTATTGAGGTATGTTGCTTGCAAACTGAAATTTTGGAATTTAAATACATCATTTTTATCGTTCCAACCAGTACCCATACGTGGCGTCATGTCAAAATTTCAATATGGATTCCGTTTTAAATTCAAGCAGGGTGTGAATGAGCAGATATTTTAGATTTACCTACATTAGAACTTGTTACCAAGTAAGTATAGCCTTCAGAAATGCATTCATATCATCTTCCAATATAGGACTCTCGTGAAACTTTTCTTCCATCTATTCCGTATACCCGTTTAATTAAAAATGGCACTTGTCAAGAACAGATCTAGAAAACCGATGCCTATGTCACATATAAGTTTCGGTGTGCAATCAAACTAGAGTCAAGCAAATCAGAATCAAACCAGATATGATTCCTTTGAATTTGTTGCTGCCTTACTCTCCTATAAAGAAACTTTAACACGGAGAAAAAAGCCTGGAAGATAAAAACTAGCCTTCGGTTTACATGGTACTCCAAAATGCATAGCTCCTCTGACGTAAGAGAGTATCTCAATGTCCAGTCCACGTGAGCCCTGTACTACGTATAAATTCATGTATTCTGGGGCTCATGCAGTAATCCAGACACGCCATTATGTCAGAGGGATGACGAATTTTAGGCCCAGGTAATCGAAACATTTGATCGTAGAACCCGAACTTTGGTTCAAATGAATGAGGTAGTCGGCAGGAGGTAAGTGCAAATCAAAATTCTTACTACAGTCCGCGCAACGAAAAGTGGCGGCTGAGATGGGGGGCTAATTGTCTAGTCCAGTTCTAATATTGAAGAGTCGAAGCGTAATAGGTACCCTGCTCTTTAACCCTTCAACAATACTGCCGTGCTAAGGAAAACCGCCGTATGAACCTTCAGACGTTGCCCAATTTCCTCTGACAAATCATGAATATCCGGGAAAATTTCTGAATATTTCCCCCCCCCCCAATTCTTCGTAGAATTTTGTTCGTAATTCGATCTGAAGTGTCTGAAAATTTGGATGAAAAGTATTCATAACTCTCCTCAAAAATGAACATTTTATCGGAGGAAATTTAGCCACTCCCGAACGTTTATACGGCGTTTTTCTTTAGCACTGCAGATTGGACCGGGCGAGTCAACTAGCTTTGCCATACAGCCACCATGTTTTGTGAAACAGACTATAATAAGAACATTAATAGTTCAATTTCCCCCAAAATTTGGTTTCTTCAATCAAAACGTTGGTGCGCTAAATGATCTGAAGTCATTTTCTCCGTGTGCTTTGAACAATAGGCGAACGCAAGATCTGTCCCTGAGTCATAAAAATGCAGGCTCTTCACGTGACAACAGAGCCTTTCTGGAAGTCCTCCGTCTCCCGCTTGAGTCCGAAGGTGAAGCTGCGGAACTTCCTGGGCGACGAATACTGATCGGAAGGAACGAGGGCGTACGGGGCGACGAACTTGACGGCGAGGATGAGCCCCAGGACGCAGAGGACAGCGACGACAGCGGCGAAGAGGACGACGACCTTGAGGTCCGGCTTGGGCGGTGTGACTTGGACCTGGTTGAGCTGGTCGAGGGCGTCGTGCCAGTTGGTCCAGGTGTCGTTCCAGTTGTGCGGGTCGGCGAGGGGGTCGCTCGGCTTGTTGAGCGGGGCCCTGGCGGTCTTCCGGAGCTCGGCCACCCTCTCCTCGAGGATGCGCACCAGGTCCGGCTCGGCCGCGGCCAGGTTGGTCCGCTCGCAGGGGTCCGCGGCGATGTTGAAGAGGCAGGCGGACTTGGTGGCGTCGCACTCGCGGGGCGCCATCGACTCGTTGCACCGGACCTCGGCGGCGGCGCGCAGGGCCAGGACCCCGCGCGCCGTCAGCAGGCGCAGCTCGTCCTCGAATTTCGGGAAGTCTGCAATCAAGGAAATGACCAAGTTAGTTGGGGGTCCTGTGAAAGGTTGGCGACGAGGGGTTGAGGAGGAGATCAGAAGGTGCCAATTGCCTGATGATCTCTGGGAGGATATAGAGTCCCTTCATACCCAGAGTTACGACAACTCACTTGGTTGGGCTGACAGTGGCCTAAAAAAATCCAATTCTGATTGGTTCTCGCTCATGAAGTCACAAAGGAGTGCACCAAGATGGCGGTGCCTCGAATATGAACAAAAATAATGAAAATATTACCTAATTGTGGTTTATCAAGAATAAATTGTTATTTCCATCGGTCCAAAATGAAAATAGATTAAGCAATTATTCACAAACCAATCTCATTTTCTTTTTCATTGATCAATTTTGTTGCTGTTTTTGGATGACAGATATCGCAGGATTCCTTATCCTTATCCCTCAATATCGTTCGTTTGGGTGCACTCGTTTGTGCCTCCATGGCCAGCCAAGGCCGGCTGCCAGTCAGCTGATAATCGACTTGTCTTAACTCTGGGTATAAAAGGATTCTAGAAGGATAGGGGGCAATGGCGATTGGGCGTCGCAGAGCGCGAGGCTGCGCTGTGAAAGCGGCTTAATGTATGTGTAGTATAAAGAGGAGATTTAATTAAAATATGGGTAAATAAGGCTAAAAGATTATTAAAAGACTAAAACACGGACGTTTCGAGCTGTTACCAGCTCATTTTCAGCTGCGAAAAACCTAAAAACAAGTAAAAAATTGAGTGGCGACCTGACCCCAGCCGTTATCACGAAACCACTAAGTGATAGTGGTACGTAGTGGTAGTACGACGTTTGAGTGGTTACGTGATAACGGCTGGGGTCAGATCGCCACTCAATTTTTTACTTGTTTTTAGGTTTTTCGCAGCTGAAAATGAGCTGGTAACAGCTCGAAACGTCCTGTGTTTTAGTCTTTTAATAATCTTTTAGCCTTATTTACCCATATTTTAATTAAATCTCCTCTTTATTCGTATATTCGGGCTATGTTTTTGTGCTTTGTATGTGTAGTTGGGGGTAAGAATAATGTATCCTAGCAGTACTAGCAGTAGCCTAGGCAGGGAGGGGAGGAGGGGGTCCGGACCCCCTGGACCCACACAAAATAATGTAAATTTACCGTCACGGACCCCTCCCCCCTTACAGAATTCCTAGCTACGACACTGTATCCTAGTATTGAGGGTTGCAGGTTGTTGCCAAATGGAGCCGTTGTTAGGTGTCCGCGTATTGCGTTCCATGAATATATATCTCTTTCGATATCTTACGGATTCGTTCTCGCTCTCACTCTCGTATTTTTCTCTGCCTTTTCTAGAAAAATATCAAATATTGTGTAGGGACCAAAGTTTTTGGAAGGTTAAGTGCAGGGGATGGAGATATGGAAGTTCTCATTGGCTCTTGATGAGTCTGTTACACCCAAGAGATAGCCTTAAGAACAGACTATTATGGTGTTAAATGGTTTAAAAATCAAGATGGTCTTATTAAAAAAAGTCTGAAATTCACGCCTTTAAGTGTGTCATGTTGCGTTGTTTTAAATACAATTTTTCAAATTTCCCGCGTATGGGGGCAATTTCTAGTCATCGTATCTGGAAACAAGCAAAGAAAACCGCGGTAGCTTCCGCAACTTGCGAACTTGGGGAGTCTGAGGGACACGGTGGACCTCTATTCATTATGCGTCATCTTCCCTTTTTGAATCAAAATCGAATCCTAATATTTATTAAATTTTGCACATAAATTCTCAAGGATGTCTATAGTCGTCGCGTGATATTTTTAAGCTCAGAGAGAGTGAAAAAGTCACATTATTCCCCGCAAAACATATTGAAAGCATTTATTTACAGCGAAAACGCACAGAGAACAACACACACGTATACAGAGGAAAAGGCTTACAATTAGAGTTCGACCATCGATCGAAACAAGGATACAAGACCCACAATTATAACTTTTTTAAACGCAAGCATCATTTTACTTGAAAAGAGTGATAGAGGATTATGAACATGAAAGTTGAATGAGGATTAGCGTTGGGTGAAGGGAGTGAAAGGGAATGAAAGGGGATGAAAGGGCCGGGCTGGAAAGTAGGGGCACATTTTCGTAGTCTCCCGATCACAAATCTCGACATCCAAGGAAAATTTTACTGGAAGTAGTTAAAAGCGGCACTTAAACCGATTTTACCCGTTGAACAATGTGCATGGGGAAATCCTTGATTTTTTTGTGTCATTAAATTGAAAAATAAAGGTCTCAAATCCAAATTTTGATCAAAATATATTTAGAATTTTCACAAGTATCTCAAACACCCAGAAAACAGAAATCCTAGATACAACAGAGCATAGAATGGTACCAACCACCGCACCGTGAAGTAACAACGCAAAAATGTGAAACATACACCGAAAAAGTGCGAAATAAAGGAACGACCTGAGAGTAACCGAGAGAACCCTTGAATCTGTGGTACTCACCCAACGTACAAATGCGCCACGCAAGTTTATTTGTAGTGTAGCTGGTGCAATTTCCTGTTGACAAGGAAGTTAGCGCTTAGAATAGATGACCTAGATGATGACTATTGCTATTTTATGAGTTAATAAATGCTAATGGAATGAAAGTAAGCGATGACGAAATGGGTATCGTATCTTAGTATTAGTGTATACTACCTACTGTTTACTATCTACGATTCACTATCTACTGCCTACTATCAACTAGCTACCGTCTACTATATACTATGTAATCTCGAACGTTACTATCTACTATTTGCCATCTACTAACTACTTTCTAATATTACTATCTACTATTTACTACATACTGTACTCCCTCCTATTGTCCACTGATTACTGTTCATAAATACGTAACGCTTTAAGAGAAGAGAAGGCTAAGGAGAGCTTTACCATATTTATTTTTTACCCGTTAAAGAATTGGGACCTATTTCACCAAAGCGTTACGAGGGATTTCAGGACGAGGAGAGGGTCGACATATCCAAAATTTTGCGTTAAGTACGAATCTTATGAACTGCCCTTTTTTGCTTTCATGCAACGCTATGCAATAAAGGGTCAAGGTCAAACCCATGATTCTGCAGCGGTTTAATTTATCGTTGAGTAAGAACGAAGCCCTTGTAAAACCTTCTGTCCAGTTTTTAATACTGGTCCTGGTCACTCTAAGCTGCGATGAGTCGAGGTGATATTCGTGAGATCTGAAACACAACTTCAGCGGACTCTAAAGTTTAATTTCGGCCAAGTTAAGGCTTACTCTGCGCCGCCGTATGAGTAATTTAAGTCGCGAGACGCATATTTGAATCAATGTCGAATTGTTGCCAAATTGCTACAGCGCAAGATTGGGTCTTGGCCTAAAATACGGGATTTTTCCTCAAGATTCGGCACGATCGCCCGACCAAACGAGAGGATTAATTACGGATGGCGAGTCATTCGCCAATGTCCTCAAACCCATCTGCCATCTGTTTACCTGCAGCGTGTTCCATTTCAGTGGACCGTCAAGTCATGACGTCATTTAGACTATTTCGGAAACAGAAGTAGAAATGAAGGCAAAGAAAAAAACCTCTTTTTTGAAAACTGAAGGGAAGGAGAGGTACTTCGCTCACAATATCATGTACAATAATTACACTGAAAAAAAAGGGAAGTTGATTTAACATTCTGGATGTAAAAAAAGTGTGCGAGAACTTACAAAATGGAATATCAAGATGTAAAACTAACTGCCATAGCGGGTAATTCAGCATTCTGTGAGTTCTCGCACGTTTTTACTTTTTTTTTACATCCAGAATGTTAAATCAACTTCACTTATTTCTCAGTGCATGATTTTTCTTACAGGAGGATCCATTTTTCAAAATCGAGGTATACACATACTGAGATTCATAAATCACCAGAGCATTTAAATTCCATTAACATCTTCGTATTTTTATAGAATGAACGTCTTGTGAGGGGACTCAATCGAATGGGTAAAAATAAAAAAGGATATGTCATGGTCTTATGGTGATGCGTACCTTGCAACGCTTTGAAATTGCCTTAGAAAATTATTTCTTTTTATTTGGATATTCCCTTTGTCGTTCGTATATATCGACGGTGTGAATCGGCAATCACATAACTCGGTTTGCGACGTCGCAGACTTCCTGTCATACTTTATCTTTTAAAGGGAAAACTACTCAACGGCAACTCTTTAAAACTGCCGTAATTTTTATTCTCTGTGCGAAGAAAATTCTGCAAAAAAATCAAGGAATGACGTCACTTTGTTCTCCTTTAAACAAATAATATAGAGGCGGATATTTTCAGACATCGCAAACGAGATATGTGATTGCGGACTTACGCCGCGCCGTTGATGAGGAGACTTCACGATTCGTTTAAATTTTTTTTTTTTTTTTTAAATATAGATTAACTTTGATAATAATGTAAGATTTATAATGTTCATCGGTACCTATAACTACAATTATTTCAATGATTTTGAAGGTTTGGTTTAATTATTTTCTTTTGTTTAAATCACAGTTTGATCATGAGAGCTGTACCTTCAATAAAACCGTACGTGCAGTTTATTATCCTTAAAAATAAAAAAAAATCTCCTTAAAGTATCACCTTATTCAGTAAAAGTACACTGAAAAAAACGTTTCCTAAATTCAAGGCGACGCCGTGTTGACCTAAGAAAATTGGATACTTGAAAAAAGTGGACAAGAAACGAAGTCTTGAATGAAGAAAACGGTATTGGCTTGGTCGAAGAAAATGCGATTTCTTGAACCAAAACTCCTGTTACATTGAAGCACGAAAACGTTTCCTTCAAATTAGGAAACACCGCCGCGCGAAGAGTTTCCTCAAAGTAAGTAAGTGTTGTGTTGTTTTCAGGAAACGCTTCCTCAAAAAAAAGGAAACAGTACCTGCAAGCGTTTCCTTAAAATTAGGAAACGGCCGGTCCCGCCGCGTCGCTGTCTAAGGAAACGGCGTCCCGCCTAGTGTCCATATCCGTTGAAGTGTATACCCCTATTGTTGGTACTGCCGGGGATGATCTTCCTTACGTAGTTGACGCGCTTCGCGCTCCCTCTGGTATCCTGATGAAGAACTCCGTTTCGCCCTGGCTGAGAATTGATCCTGTAACCTTCGGCATTGTCCCGGGAAGAGTGAAATTCCGACATCGTAGTCCACTCGGCCATCCTACCCTCGCGAGCGATGAGGAGTTATTTTGCTGTGTTAAACCTATTCGCATCTATCTCTTTGGCTACACAGATGCCCACCTGCTACCGTTCAATAGCACTTGGGTTTATCTAGCAAATACTACCTCAATTATCATTTAAATATATTAAATATCCACATATTTCCCTTTTCTCTCTATTTATCACCCGGTTCTCAGATATTATTTAAAGACCGTGGGCCATCGCCGCCATAACTTAACCAACGTATTCCCCTTTCTTTTTCATTCGGAGACAGTATGATCATGGAGTAAATTATTTTTTTATTTAAGTCTGGTTAAAGGACAGATTTTCATACGTGCCTCTCAAAGGTAAATTATCACTCATTCGAGTATCCAATCTGACGCCCATATCATTACGGTTAATGCGTAAATCAAGGAGGCTCGTGTGAGAAACGCTTCTCATACTGAAAGTAAATATGATTTAAAATTCCAATAAAGTATAGACAAAATAATCTAAGATTATTTAATACTGGCTATAAAATTGGCACATAAAAGATAAATGATCTTTATGGAGTTTTCAAAATGTACTCGGAATAGCGGTAAAGATGTGGTGATGATAAAGGCATGTATAGGTAATACTTTAATGAGTAAATGAGTACATATCGGGCCGAGTCAAGCTTTCTGGGATTTGAAGACACTTAAAAATGTTCGAAGCTACGACCAGATTCAAAGAGTGTACTTGCAGTAAAATGTTGAAAAGCTTCACATTATTTATTTATACCTACATAAACGGACGCACGCTTTTCTATAGAAAATTTAAAGAAATTTTCGTCGAATTAGAAAATTCACCGAAAAATATTAAAGGAACTTTGGCTCTGATCCGTGCATTTCTAGAAAGCATTCTGACATTTTGGACTGAAAACAATATTTTTGATAAGGCACAAAAATTGCGTTTTATCAAAACCTCCACCTTTCCGACGCGTAAATCCTTTACGAACGAGAGATTAATTGATTAAATTTAAACATACTGAAAGTGTTTGGAGTGGAGTGGATCTTACGAATAACGCCATCCAAGCGGTTCGGTCGGATTTCTGTAAAGGACCGTTCAAATAATATGTAACGCTCTAAGGGAGAGAAAGGGTCAAGGAGAGAGTTACGCCATTTTGTTTTTACGTGTGAAAGAATAGGGACCTACGTCGCAAAAGTGTTACGAGGGAAGAAGTGAGTGGGGGTCCAAAAATTGGAAATTTAGCGTTACGTTTTTTATGGGCGTGATGTCACTCATGGGCGTAAGGGTGCATCGAAATTTTCACGTAGGTAAGCCGTAGAGAGCATGGTGGTATACGGACGGAAGGGCTCATCATCTCAAAGTGTAGATGCGCCCTTCCGCCAAAGGAGCGACGCGCGACGGTATATTTGGAAGGCCCCTCTTGAGCAACTCGCCGAATACATGGTGGTGTACGGCACGTTGCATCCACCTCCTCAGTAGGCGTTTGGTAATTTTTTTGTTTCCTAATTTTAAGGAAATGGGTTTCTTCGATCAACATCACATATATCCTTAAATTGAGGAAACAGGAAATGCTATGCCCGTTTCCTAATTTTAAGGAAACTGTTCTCTTCAAACGACACTCCATGGATTCTTCAATTCAGGAAACGGCTTTGCTCCTCTCAGTTTCCTAATTCTAAGGAAACAGGGTTCTTCGATCAACACCACACGGATCCTTAAATTTAGGACACCGAAGCGAATCCCTCGTTTCCTAATTTTAAGGAAACAGATTTCCCGTTTCAAGTATCCGTTAGTCTGTTTCAAGAAAACGTATACGTGGTTCAAGAAAGCATGGTTTTCTTAACTCAACACAATTTTGTTACCTTGGATCGAGATAACTGTTGGCTTGTTCCAAGCTAACACCGTGTTGGAATTAGGAAACTTTTTAAGGATACATGTTTCCTTAAATTTAGGACAAGTTTTTTTTCAGTGTAGGATTCCTGGAAGCTCCAACAAATTGAAAATCTAAAACAAAAAATCTTGAGCAATAAAGGGCAGAGTTTGAGGTCCCATAGGGTAATGACATGGTGTAAAGCCAATTAAGTTTACCGTAATTAGCGTTGGCAGCAACAGAATTTATTGCGTTCAGTCGCATCTCTTTGGTTTTGATCTGCTGTTTAGTAACAAATCCTCCCAAAGCTGCACCTGCTTTTGAGTGTAGTACTGCGGTGACGTCATAACTCCTCACTTCATCGTCAGTTAAGTTGTTTGACCGCCCTGATTCACCGTACCATGAGTCAGTCCTGCCCTTTGAAACAGATCCTAAAAAAACAAAAGTCCAGTGTTTAGAATCATTGCAGAACCTAAACTAAATAGAGCAACATTAGAAAATGAGGTTTCAATTTACTTTCTGGATGTATTCCTAAAAAAAATGAAAGAGAATAAAATTTACCTTTTACATACGTTTCAAACGTATTTCATGTAAAAAAAAGGCACGGTTTTAGAACATGGCCTTCCTATAGGATGGTAAAATCCATGTGCCATTTCGATGCATATGTTCCACATAGCTCGTTTTATGCAATCATTGGCTCCTTACTTTGGAAGATGTAGCGATTTAAGTGTAAAGAGAGTGTATTTCGTTTTCAAAGAATATTACATGTTAAAATTCGATGAAAATCTTTTTCAATGCATCTGAACTTCCTAAATGTCTGACGAAGTGACGACTCCATGACGAAGCGATGCATCGATATGTCCGGTGGCTTTAGAGGAGCCTTCAACTTAACGCGTCGCACTGGGCAACAGACGTATTTGTAATAGTTATTGCGTCACTCGATAATGAAGGGGCCAATGACAATGACGATTCCTATTGTAAAACAATACCATTAATACTATCTTGAGAGCTCTTCCTTCTGAAGAGAGAAATTTAAAAAAATTGCTTTATCGATGACAGTTAATTCTTGAATATATCAAGCCAGAAAAATTTAAAAAGAGGGAGGTGCAAATGAGAAAGAAAAAAAGAAGGGCTCTGATTTTTCCATACGTAGCACTAAGCGTTATAGACGTATCGAATATGGAATAAATCTCGTCATTTATTTTTTCAAAAGGTATATAAATCAGGAAAGCAAATTTAAGACTAAATTTACCGTCTAGAATACAAATAAAGGCTTTCCTGCAAAATGCAAGGATGCAGGGGACGATCTGAATTTTCAAGAATCCGGTTTTTCATGCGAAACGATCAGAGGTTTAGTTCGAGCAAATATTTGTTTAGATCTAAATTTGCTTTTTCACTGTAAAATACAGCAGTGCAAACGCATTTATTGCGTTTCCAAACGATACCGTTGTCGCGAAGTAATTAATCACTGGTCATTGATCGTCCGAGACGCAAATGACTTGCATGCATAATTGCATAGTCAAAACAACCCTTACACTGTTGTGTGACTGGTATGCATATTTGTGACGATGCAGTCTAATGCCGTGTTTACTATGTTTTAATGATTTGAAACATCCGTAGCAGTGCAAATTATGATACAGAGTTTCCATCCAGCAATTTATCATATTAACGGTCAAGCTCACTCGGTGATTAAGAAGTGCAACCACGAGTAATTATGAAGTTTCAAGTACTAATTTTTCAAATTTTTGGGACTCCTAAGCTCAAATATTCCATAAAATCAAAATTTGTGTGTTCAACAGGGTCTTTTATTTATAGTATGGTATCAGAACCATGCCAAATCTGTAAGAATAATTCTCTAATGGCATACGAAACCATTTACTCTGATGAACCGGCATAGTAATCGTAACTACCTCACAAGTTTAGTGCGACATGTCTACAAAAGATCTGAAAGGTTTATCTCATTTAACCTTATTCCTTCAGTGGATTTTAAATCCAAGAAAATACGAACATTACAGTCGAGACTAAAATCAGTCCTCGCAAGATTTGCACCAACAGGGTCATGGTTTTATTGTTTTGTTTGTTTGTTTTTGAGACCCAAAAAAATTCTACACAATCTAATATTTCCCAAGGGAATGATAAATCTGATAATACTGATAATACGATCTGATCTAATAATACTACCACACGCAGATTTCATCGGACGGTGATAGCAACATTTTGGCTGAAATTTTTTATATGAGGATGCTCACTGGAAGCAAGAAGCTTTTGTTACACCCTATGTAGAAAACCAATACTGAAAGCAATGCGCGGTAATCAGTACTTAGGGGGGACGATGTCCTTGCCCGCAGACGGTATTTTACAACACTACAGTGCAGTAGTTCCGCACAGAATGATTGATACATCGGCATCGGCCGACTGATTGATTGATTGTTGCTGACAGTCGGTTCGCCGATCCTAATCCTCCACGATCATTGTTGCATTTCAAGCCACAGTACTTCCTCACACGCGATTTACTAGTCATTAGGTGAGGAAAGTGCTCGCGAGGCTGCTTCAAGTGATAGGCACTACAGATATAGATTAGCCAGGGCACTGAACTAAGCTCCATTGTATTCCATGAGGTAAAGATTCTAGTTCAGGTAGTTGTAAATTTCAATTACTTGAACGTAACTCCAGCTTTGTATTAATCGGTGACCAGAATTAAATTACCGGTATAGTGCACAGTATAGGGAGCCATATGGATTTCTAAGGATTAATTTCTCAATAATTGAAGCTATATTCGACTAAAATGAAGCTTCCTTGGGGTCCTCAAAAATGGAGGGTGCGTTCCGAGTGTAAACACAATGATCTATGAAAACTGACACGATTCAAACTACACGCGCAAAAGAAGAGCTGCGTTACAAACTTTTGGGTCTTAGCCGGTTAAAAAACTAGAATAACTCTTGTATAAACTTCTTTTTGGCCAAACTCTCGTGTTGAAAATAGGCTGTATGAATATTTGAGACCACGCAGGTCAAAATGGTTGATCTTGTAATTTTATTTGCCTACGGCAACGCAGGTTTTGCTTGAATTGTGTTATAAAATGACACATGAACGTGATACGATTATTAACCTCCGTCAGGTACCCATTCTGTGCGTTATTTTACAAAAATATCATCGAATTATTCATTGCAAGGTGGTGGCAATCGACACCTTTGCGATATAAAGTGTAGACTTGTTTTCTATCCATGCGTTTCAGTCTCCAAACTTGCAAAATGTATAAACTGATTGCAGTGGTGAGGCGTGATAATCTATTATCGATGTTTCCCCATTTGAAGCTGTGGTAAAGAATCGTCATTCGGGTGCTCGTTGCGAACACCCTGTTTATTGATCCTTTTCCATGGGTTTAAAGGGCAGATCAATCGATTTCTGCGAATTTAGTTACATGCACTTAAATCGTCAGAAATGCTGGAAGTAAGAATTTTTGCCACTTTTTCTGCACTAAATGGTGTTCATGAGTCTGTTGCGTTTGCTGGCAGTGTATATTTCAGCCACATGAAATATACACAGTCTTGTTTTGATCTTCATTAAATAGTTTTATCTGCTCGTAAAATAATTGTTTACCTTTGACGTATTTCCAAGGGCCAGAACGGAGAGCAGAATAAACCTCGCCAATATCGTCAATATTGTGAAGAAGCTCGGTTCTAGGTGAGGGTAAATCTTCTGAAAGGGCTTTCCACATGTCCACTCCGTCCAGATCTTTCGGCAAAGAAGACTCTAGTCCTAATTGAATAAAAAAATACAATGGATGTATTCAAAATATCTAAAAGTAAAACAATAACAAATCAATGGCAAAATTCCAAAAACGCAAATAAAAAATTATGGTGTAACAGTACAAGCATGCCATTGCATTTTTTGATATGGTTTTAGAAACTGCATGTGTCATTTCTTTCGAGTAATGACGATTTCTTAAATCAGGAAATACTAAATTAGAATAATTTGTAGATTTGAATGAGTGCATGAATCATGTATCAGATTATCTGATCTGATATGTAATTTGTAGACCAATTCGAACTTATGACGTGCTTGAATTCAGTATTTCCTAATTCAAGTAATCGACATAATTGAAAGAAAAGGATCGTCAGAGACATCAGTAGAACCTAATTTTTACGTACATTTCATGAATTTTAAGTGGCGAGTTTCATCTCACTAAGATCCTCGTAGAAAAATTCAACGATTTTGGCACCAAAGAGAACTTGAAGGCAGTTCACGTACAACCTTTCAATTTTTTTTTATTTTACTCATCATCGTATATATTTTTTTAGTTTGCCACTGTTTTACAATATATAGCATCTTTTTCTAGGTCATTAGAAAATCTAATAGTATATGTATCTAACCTGCTGCAGAGTGCAGCGTTGGCAGCCAGTCTGCAATGTGCATTAGCTGATTGGCGACCCTGCTTCGTTTCTTGATCAACGGGCTCCAAACGGCTGCAACTCCTCTGACTCCACCCTCATAAGGTGTCTCTTTGATCTAAAAACAACGTAAATTCATCATTTCAAGAAAGTTCCGGCGAGTTTATCAAGGGAGTCCACAAAGTCAAAAACTGAAGGTTCAAGCTACACTGTTACACATCGTGCATCGTGCTAAAGAAGTGAAGAATAGCTGACAGTGCGTGCTGTATCGTATATTGCAGAGTCAATAATTGAAGGCGCACTGACACGACACATATGGACTGTGAAAGTGCTCAACTCGTTCGCGGTGTTTCAAACTTTATTTTCTCAAAATAGAACGAACAGTGCTATTGCTTGACATGTTATGGTTGTGAGATTTACACTTAAGACGAAGATTAGGTGGAAGATATCATGATAATGCCACAAAAATGGGAAAAATAAATAGAATCAATACTAAAATTAGCAACGAAATATCTGGTAAGTTTCAAAGTGCTTTCAACTCCATTGATTTTTCCTTTATTTGATTTTATTATTTGTTGTACACATAAAGTGTGCACTCATGAGATGATTTGCTGTTTTGCTAATCTTCGCGTTACCATACTTCAATACCTTTATTTTACGATTAACATGACAGATTTTCAGGGGAAAATAGGCGTGTGTGAGGTACATTCAAATAGGCGCAATTAATCCATGTTTTGAATCAACCTTAACATGAAATCAGTACTTCAGCAAAATTTTGCACAATATCTTGAGATTTGAACTTCCATTAACCTAATCCCGCAGAAATTGACATCATCTTATAAGGAATGCACCACGGCGGTACATTTTTGCTTTGCTTAGAAACGACGTATCTACCACTGACTTCTCAACCAAATTCATGGTTAAGTTGGAACTTTTCAATGAGGCCAATAAGCGCGTCTGCAGTTGCCTTCCTGCATGGTCGTCACTAGTGTTGCACCAAACAGCGTACCTCCGTGAGGGAAAATTGTGCGTATATGAGCTTTTTCCCTCTGTATTGAGATTTTTAGCTTTATGCTGATTTTTAACGCACTTTGGCTACAAAGTTCCAAGTTAATGTCTTACGACTCGTGCGTTTACTGCAATCAGTTTGTGTAAATAGGACGTATTTCCGTCAAACGGAACTAAGCGCCAATTTTAGTTCCTTTTGAGGACTTTACACGGAGAAAAAAAACTCGTGCGTGGGACCCGAAGTTTAGGTCATATGGATCTCTGAAGTTTTCAGATTGAGCATCTGAACACTTTTGGTCTAGCTGCCGAAGTTCGGATCACACATCTGAAACTTCAGCTCTTGCATCTGAAGTACTTCGGTTCTCACGTCCGAAGTACTTCGGTTCTCACATCCGAAGTACTTCGGTTCTGAAAACTGAAGTTTCAGATGTATGATCCGAACTTCGGTAGCTAGACCTAAAGTGTTCAGATGCTCAATCTGAAAACTTCAGAGATCCATATGACCTGAACTTCGGGTCCCACGCACGAGTTTTTTTTCTCCGTGTAGAATGCCGGATAGCGCGTTCTATCAAACGGAACTAAGCGCCGTGGAAAAGCATTGCGAGTATAGGACGCAATGAGCCCGACGCCCGATTCCGCCGCCAATCCAAGCCCCCCTCTACCTTCCTCCTCCTATGGCGCTTAGTTCCGTTTAACAGAAATACGTCCGAGTAATGGTTATTTGAAAAGTATACTCACCCCTCTGAGCGGGTAGTTGGAGCCCCGGTTGGAGTGGAGTCCGTAGGTGGGTGCCCCGTTGTCCGACATGAAAATGATAATCGAGTTGTCCAACATGTCGCGCGAGCGCAGTGCACTCACCACCTCCCCCACCGACTGGTCCAGTTTTGACACCATCGCTGTAACGAGGAAAGTCGTGACATAACTAAATGCCGTAACAACGTCCAGCCGGACGCCCAGTTTCACCAAAGTGCGTTTATGAGTCGGGAGTTTATGACCACCCGAATTATCAGCGCAACACTTTTACAGCTTCAGCGATAACGCTAGGACTTACACGCAGAACAGAGTGTATGGATTAGAATTGAAGGTTTCGGATCCGTGGGATATCTATGCGTGTATCAAAAGTAATGGAATTTAAAATGTATGAGCGACATACGTAACGGCAGTAGGTCAGTTGCCCCAGTCGCAGATCTGTCGCTCCTCTGACGTAAGAGCGTATCTCAATTTCCAGCCCTGGTTTCCATCATTATTTCGAGAAGGCGCTACATAAAATTCCATTCCGCTATGTTCAGAGTGCGAAAATTCTGAATTGTAGCGCAACCGTACGGCCCTATTTTGGCACAAAACTGAACTAAAAACCTCCCGCAACATATTCTATTGTGAAGAGTTTCCCTGGAAAGCTCAAAATTATGATGTTCAAACCTGTTTCGACGAAATAAGCTGCACATAAACATTGCCTCCATTAATGTAGGTCCATTTTTATAGGACGGTCATAAATCAAAGAATTCAATTTAAATAAGGATAAAACAAACCAAAACATGCATTTCTTAATTTTTCAAATTATCATACTATTTTAACTGGGAATTCACCGTATGCATTTCAGGTTTAAACCCATCTTCAGTTAAATTTTCAATTAGAACAGTATGTCAATTCAAAAAGTTAAAAAGTGCATATTTTGGTTTGTTTTGTCGTTATTTTAATTGTTATAATATCACGCAAAATGAGCTTTACAGATTATAATTTATTTTTACAACTATCTTCTAAAAGAAATTCAAAGAGAGCGTACCGGCATAAGTTCGTCGTTCAGGGTCCTCGATATGGGCGAACCTAACCACCTCCTCATCGGGAGCTTGGAAGGGTTCATAGGTGTTGGCCGTGTGGGGTGCCAGGTGGGCCATGTACAGGAACAGGGGGTCCTCCCGCTCATGAGTGTTGATGATGCGCACAGCCTCGTCCGTGAACAGGTCCGTCGAGTACTTCCCTTGCGCCGACCAATCCAGGCTCATGTTCCGCCGCATGTCGTAACCGTGGTACTTGGCAAACTAAGCATACACGTGTCAATCAGTTAGAGTAGAGGTGAGTTGCAGCAAATTAAAAATATACAGTTACTTGAGGGGGGGGGTGCACCCCCTGACCGCTTCGCGGTCAAACTTTTTAAAGCTCTTTGTGTCTCAGGCGTTAAATGCGTTACGCTTTGATTTCATATTGACCCATCACATCATGATTACATGGTTTTTGGTGAAAGAACCATTGATCAGGGATCCTAAAAGTACATTTGAAGGGCTTGGAGGACAAGGCGCATAAGTACAGGTTTTAAAGAAATTGAGATATTAATGATTTCAAGTAAAACCATTCTTAATGCATAACCTGTGAATTTTTAAGCATCAAAAAGTCAGTTTGAACTTTCTTTCCGCCATAAGGCTCCATGTGGTTTTGAAACTTCAAACACGTATTTCTCGAAATAACGAAGACTGCATTTGTGCGCCTTGTTCTCCAAGCCCTTCATTTACCAACAGTTAATAAAATTTGAGCGCATGAATGAAGTTATCAAACAAAAATTTTGCACAATGAAAAAAATATCCGCACTTTTCAGCAAGGTGAACAATTTTGAAAAGCTTCAAACACGTGCTGGCGGTAGAGAATATACCACGAACAAAAGTTTTAGGATCGTGAATTCATGACTAGGCAGTTAATCGGTAGTATTAAACTTCTTTTTTAATTTTCCTCAGTGAGTTTTTCCTCCTTTAATATAATTAGATTTTTATCTTTTGACACCGATCTATCGTCAAACCCGTGGGTCAAGGTTTCTCAAAGGCACGTTGCCTTAATTTAAGATCTTTCAACCTTGAAGGCCAAAACTCTGGAATGCGCGAGCATCAAAAAACGGACAAAGTAAGCGAACTTTCATTACCAGGGTCAAGGTCAATTATTCGACGGCAGCATAAAGCATTTTTCTCGACTTTAATTTTTTTACGGTGAATATCTACGTGGTTGTCACGTTGTAAGATGATGAGGAAAGAGCACGATATTGCAGGTTTAAGGTCTCTGGCAGTCTGGCCTCAGAGTCTCATCAAGAAATGAATCGTAAGAGCGAATATGTTTAATACATTACAATAAAAGAAAGAAGTTTGTATGATAATTTTCTGCAGATTATATTTGAAAACAAAATAAAAACAAGCAGTGAACTCCAACACAATGTGTTGATAAGGCGCGTCATTAACTCGCACATATCAACCCCTTTAGTTTTCATTTACAGAGATTTCAAAAAAGGCAAGCAGCACAACAAGAGAATTCACGATCCAACACTGCAAGGTCAACGACGCACCTTCACGAGACGGTGTATTGTGAATCTAGAAAGCTATTCGAACAAATTTAAGTTTTTTGATCTGCCTCAAGCAAAATCTTTTCAGATTCTTGAAGAAAAGTGCTACGGAAAAATTTAAGCGAAGAAAGGAAAAATTCTGTCGAACTCCTAGAAGATAAAGTCGATTTAAAGGTATTTTGGGGCTAAAATACCCAAATCACCGGTATTATAAATCCCGTTATATTATTGAAAAGAAATTGACTCGATATAAATGCAATTGTCTTAAATATGTCTTGATTTTGTTATTTTAAACGTCTTTTCATGCAAAGAAGCTCAACCATGTCCATGCTTTATTCATTCATGAATTGAAAGTAAGCAATCCACATCCCGAAAATCTACCGATTTGCCGTAAAAAATCGCAGAAACTTGATATACCAGGTCGATGTACCCACTCTTTGAATTTACCAATCAATTTAGTGAGTGCACGTATGTGAAAGTCAAAATGCTATAGTCATTTTGGGTGCATTCATTTTTCATGAAACAATTGTAAGTAATTTCAATCCCGAAAAACCAAAAATTTTCCGTATAAAATAAAAAAAATCAAAATATGTCGACTCCCTGACGTGAAAATTAAATTCTACGTGTGAAAATACTTATGTATCGATATGCTGAACAGAATGCCCGCCTCTCCTCGTAATTTATAAACCGTTCCTATACTCATCTCAAAATTTTTCTCAGAGCTTTGTGTTATTATCAGCTTCCATTTAAACCCCGGTTTGATGGCCGATTCGGCTGCCCAAAAAGCAAGCCATTTTTGAAGGGCTCTATGAGAAATTCGTGATATTATCAGCTCTCAGGAAATCACCCCATGGGTAAAATTGCTGGTATAAATTTTCGAGTGCTTAAAATAATCGTATTCAAGAAACTAAGGCATTAAACTATGGAGTCAATTTCGTTTTAATAATATAACGGGATTTACTTGTCTTCAGGTCAAAACTCATACAAGAAAGCCCCTTGCAAGAGGCTAATTTTTTGTAATTTCACTCAATTTTTTCTCCTTTTTATAATTGAATTGCTTGTCACATTCTGAGGTCAATCATATTAAATTGTAATTTATACATTTCTTTTTTTCCCCCTTCATTTTATTTTTTGTTTGGAGAAGTTTTGTTGATTTCTTCGGATTTCGAATACTGTAACTTCTCTTCTATTTGGCCGATTTTTATGAATGAGACCTCTTTTAATTCGTGTTTTAACGGAAAGTAAGGAAAAAATTGCTAAAAACTCGCGAAACAATTTTTTTTAAAAATTGGACGAATCCTAGCGTGACGGTGAAATGGTTAATGAAGCGTAAGTAATTGGGCGAGGGGCTGAGGACCCCGGCCTCGCTTGGCGACCGTCATTAGCTATTGTTTGTCGAGACGCCGACGCAGTGATCAGGAGCGTGGGGAAGAGAGGGGTAAGTGGATTCCTGTATGAGCCACGTTTAGCTAATGGTCTAATGAGTCTCGAGGCTCATCACAGATTGCACTTACACAGATTGCACTATCATGAGTGGCGGTAGCCACCACCGGGCAAGTAACCTATCCTCCAACAATTGGCAACACAGCACAGCCCGGTCGAGGCAACGACACCATAGTTACACGAACTTGGCTTATTTGGGTTTTTCAGAGCACGGGTACCAACTTTTGAAAAGTATAACCGAGGTTACAGATCTGTCAAAGCAACGTTTTGAACAAAACGGAGGAGTTAGATTCTCATTCCGAGAGTGCCGACCTGCTCAGCCATCCTCGAATCAATTCGCTTGATTCTGCTTATATATGCATATTTTAAATCAGCGCGTCGCATTCTTAGGCTTTTTTTAAAAAAACCAAGTAACTTAGACTCTTGGTATTAACCTCATATGATAAAAATATTATTATCAGCTGACACTGACATTGTTGTCAGATGAACAGCACTATCAGAGCACGGTTACCAACTTTTGAAAAGTATAACAGAGGTTTGGAGATCTGTCAAAGCAACGTTTTGAACAAAACGGAGGAGTTAAATTCTCATTCCGAGAGTGCCGACCTGCTCAGCCATCCTCGAATCAGTTCGCTTGATTCTGCTTATATATGCATATTTTAAATCAGCGCGTCGTACTCTTAGGCTTTTTTTAAGAAAACCAAGTAACGTAGACTCTTGGTATTCACTGCACATAAACTAGAGAGCCCCAGAATGAGAAACAACTTTAAATCATAATTATTGACGGATAAATAAACTTTTTACACGCTTTGGAAAATCTCAGAAGTTCGCGGTAGTCACTTTTCGGTAAGGAACTAAGGGACTCGGTTATTGTATCGAGCAGGGTTCGAAACGATCGCAAAGGCGGTATACTACGTATACGCGCCAAAAAAAGAAAATATCTCAAATAGGTCGCCTCAGACATGCCTTGCAGAATGTGTGTCCTACTGATATCAACATTCAATCCATATTCGTTAAAATGTTTTGTTTTTTAAAGTCAAATAACTGTTCCCACACCTATGTTTTAAAGCTGCCTGTCATGTGTTTATCGTTTCGTATAATTATTGTACTTTCAATCTTCTGACTGAGTTTAATTCGCGTAATTCAGATCATCTTGGAAGTCGAAAATGACATCGTATTCGACGTCATGACTAAATAGCTTGTCTGGTACGGTCGTGTTAACAGGATGACGAAAGACAGGCTGTCAAAGAAGATGTTTGTTTGAGTTCCTCCTGGGAGGAGACGAAGAGGGTTTTAAATGAAATGAGGAATTGCCAGCTCCCTGACGGGTTGTGGGAGGATCGGCTACTGTGAAGGTTAGGCGTCGCAGAGCGCCAGAGAGCGCAATACAAGCGACTCCAATAATGTACACTGGGGAAAAAAAACACATTGTATCTGGAGTCCAGACTTTTGAAAACATTGACAAGAAAAATGACTCTTGATTCAATCAGATTTAAGCTTAACTCAAAAGGGAATCCGCTCAAATTAAGAGGCTTGGTTCTTGATTTAAGCTTAAATCCGATTGAATCAAGAGTATTTTTTCTTGTCGATGTTTTTAAGAGTCTAGACTCTAGATCCATTTTTTTTTCCAGTGCATGTAACTATGTAACTGGGTCATGATGTGAATTTTACTGACTATCCCGTGAAAGTTTGCAACAACGAGGCTGAAGTGAATCATTTCAATTCGATCACAGGCGAAGAAAAATCTGCAAATTACAGGTCCTCATCAGACAGGCCTCCCCGCCTCGTGGAGCCTGGAATTGACTCGGCCGCCAGAACTGTTTCTCGCGCGCGAAGAAATGGCTCCAAAGATATGATTAATGGGTGGAGTAACTAAAATTCCCCTCAATCAGGGGGAGTCATGGCTAAAAATAGATGAAAATTAATATTCCGAACATATTTGTTCTTCTTGTAAAATAATGGAAAGTATGGTGACGCGCAGTAGTGGGTGCTCCAGTAGATTTGAATTCTTGAGTTTTTCACTCGCACAACTGCCCCATCAAGATCTCAAAAACTGACGATGGAGATTTTGCACACAAAAAATCGTTTCGGTTCACAAGTGAACGCTTCATGAGCTAGCACGAACTTTTTTCACCCTTTTTCCCGGTAACAGACGATGTACTTTTTTTAAGCGTGAGAGAATATTCTATATTTCTACGATTTTGTGCACAGGCCAATTCCAACAGGCCTCCGTAGTGTACTGATGGTGAAAATACTAGACCTTGAATCTCGATTGCGGTGTTTCAAAAATTGACGCTCAAGTTTTTTTGTTTTTATTTTTCTTTTCTTCTCTTTTTTTGAAGAGCACATATTACTCAATATCTTGGAGCAAATGAGTCTTCAAAGAATATTATCAAACACATGAAAAAAATAAAAAATTGGGGGAGCATCTCGGCCTCACGATCTTCTTTAAAAGGGAAAATGGTACAGATTATCGTCGTGCAGATAACTCACAACGATGCACTCTAATGCACGTGACTTAGTGCTTTTACCCTCGATGTTTGATATTTTTTCCTGATTCGCTTCAAGAATTATTCAATGTAAACATTGATGATTCCTAATATATAGGGGCTCATAAAGATCATTCACCAATCTTATTTACCATTGAAATTTATCAACTTTGTTTCACCTGTAAATTTTGCACCAACGTAACTTCTGCGGTTTGGCGCATAATTGCGAAAAATGGAAGCAAGAAAAATAACAACTTAAATATTGTTCTAATTATTGCTGGCGATCAGAATCTTCATTTCCTATTTTCATGCCCTCTGAAATTATCGTGAAAAAATTATCCAGTAAATTTACAGTTTTCTGATTTAAGTTTCTAATTCTTGAAAAGAGGCAATGTTAGGAATCTAAAATTGGCGACAGTGTCTCATCCAACGGGCCATATAACTTTTCGCGCATCGTAAAAATCAGCAATGACGGATACACGCGCAAGACCTCACGAGCTGAAGACTTGAACTTGTGCAGTTGGTTCCATCGGCTCATTCACTGGATCCTTAATTACTGCGAATTTTTATGACTGAAGAATTCAACTCTGCCGACTTAATGTCCGCACGATTATCTGAGGGTATTACCCTCCAAGTAGGAAGTATACGCGCTTTGCCTCAAACTGTCTTGTGTGATCAAACACACGTTTTTTTAAACCGAGTTCTTCGCTATTTGCATAACTCAAGAAAATATAATCTACCAGACTAAATCAAAAGTAAAATTAAAAATTAACTCGCTCTTTTAAAGTTCCACGCGGTTCCCTTTTATTGCAGTTTACCTGGGTTAAATTAGGGAAATGAAAATGGTGGTTGTCATTTTGAAAATTTAGTTGAAACTCTATGCTTTTAGAACTCTATATCGCCACACGTGCTCATGATTTCATACAAGACGAAGTTTTGACATACATCATTTCAAAACGTGGCTCTATTATTCCGTGAGCCCATCGGCCGATTTCAATTTGAGATCTTAAGGACCCGTTCAAGCAATTTTTTCACTCTATTTCTTCATAAAAACGGAACAGAAACAAAGTAACCCAACCAAAATCAAATTTATAGCAATTTTACTCGACATTTTTGAAATACTTAAATTTAAAATTTATGAAGTCCGCTTCACTGTTCATTTTTGAGTGCTCATCAGACCTTTCATATTTAGAATATTTTGTAAAAGCCACAAAAAAAAACCCCCGCGATGCATGACAAAGCAATATAATAATGAGCAAACTATGATCCTATTCCCTTTAAGAAAGAGGGGGGGAGAGAGAGAGAAAAAAAAACCCAAGTATGAATCTGGTCATGAAATAACCATAAGACTGTTGCAGTATGCTATTTTTTAATTTTTTCCATCGTTCTTGTCCCCCTCTTCTCTTTCATCCACCATTGCTTTTTCTACTGGCCCCGGCAAGCCACGGTGCGGTGGCCCTTCTATTCCCGCTTGGTCCACTACAAATACAGTCTGGAGCAGGTGGGTGTGGGTATACATACCGTGGCTTTAACGGAGTGATCGTAGTAGTCCTGGAAGCCTTGCCAGTATCCGAAGTGAGAGTCGAAACCTCGGTGGGTTGGCGTATACTCCTTGCGGAAGAAGCCCAAGTGCCACTTCCCGATGGCGTGCGTCGCGTATCCACTCTCTTTCAGGTATTGGGGCAGCATCTTCTCCTCCAGCGGGAGCCCCCACGGCTCTGCCTCCAAGATCACTAAGTGCTGCATACCTGCAAGGCGAAGAGACAGGACGCTTTTAGAGGCGTGCAGGTATATAGATAGAAAAAACTTGACAGGGAAAATATTCACTTATTTTTCAGAAGATCTGTGTTTTATCGAGAGATATTAGGCAATACAATACAGCATTTTACCTTCGCAAGATTTAGATCATATTCGATACATCAAACAGGTGAGATTGTATCGATATCGATTGGTTCAACATGTAAACATAGTCCCAGAGGTCAATTGAGAATTTCAAAGGAGCGGGTTTTTTTTGATAAATTTTTAATGCTTGTGAGTACCAAATGGCAATGAAAAGTGAAATTTTTAGGAATTTTCTCATTTTTAGCTTTTCCAACTTAAATCCTAATTTTTTTGAGGTTATGCTCTATTGTTTTGAACCTAACGATATGACGAACCACTATCGAATACGATCCATCTTAGCTTTCATCCCTAAACTACATTTCCTCTTCATCACAAAATAAAGATCATGGACAGTATAACGACTGGGATATACCGCATCCCTTGGAAATGAAATCGCTGCTTGTTCGCCTTCAAATTGTCGATGCAACCCAACACCACAGCCAAGTTAATTAAGTTGTATCCATTGATTGGTTGTATGCTGAATGTTTCTACGCATCCTGAGGTGGACATTGACAGCATAAGGGAATTGAGAGACTTTAACGCATGATCAGAAACATAGAGGTCACTTTCAAGCAGATCATTCTACGACGACGCCACCATTTCAGTGCGGGGAAGCTGTTTTTGTATCGTCGTTTAAAAGAGAGTGCGAAAGTAGCGAATGCATTTCTCACTTATATCGTAGTAGCAAGTGATTGTACTTCCAAAAATTTAGCTCAAAACAAAGTCACGGAAGAAGAAAACTAAATCCATGAGTGAAGCAAGGATTAGAATTTGAAAACATTCACAAGACTAGATGTTTCGAGCCGTCAAAGGCTTATTTTTATCTGCAAAAAGTAAATACATTTGGGAAAAAATTAGGTGGATACCCGATCCTAGTTTTCGTGTTGAGTATAGTTGCGTGCTAACAACTAAGATTGAGCCGTCACACAATTATTTCTCAATTGCCTTGTTTTTTGTTACTAAAAATATGCCTGAGACGGTTTGAATCGTCCTAGCTTTGAAGAGTTATACATATTAAGCCTGTTTTACCCATGTGTTTCGTTTTCCCCTTTCGTGATCTCAACTCTAAGTTAATAACATAGTGCATGCTCCCATTCCAATCAATGTTTTATTTACTTATTTTTCGAATTTATATATATGTAATTGCAAAACGAACAAATAATTGGGCTCAATAATTCACATAAAACCGTCACGGCAGTAAGATGAGTTTTTGATCTTATTTTCATTGTTTGTCAATAGATTGATCTATATGATTTTGTCAATAGATTGATCTATATGATTTTGATACTAATTTAATGTCTTTGCCAACTACGTATCATTTTGAGCGTCCAAAATTACTTATGAGGGGCTTGGAGGACAAGGCGCAAAAGTGCAGTTTTTGCTATTTTGAGAACTACAAGTTTTTCGAAATTACATGGATCCCTGTGGCGGAAAGAAAGTCCAAACTGATTTTTTGATAATTAAAAGTTGGAATTTGAGAGCGAATCAATCTGTAATTATCTGTAATCTATAATAATATCTCAATTTTTCAAAACTGATCGTATGCGCCTTCTCCTCTATGCCTCTCATATATCCTAGTTCCTACACGTACAACGATCAGCCGCTACAAAATTGTTGCTTGTCAATGCATCACAAATGGAGCAGCAGGGGTACTCACCCAAGTGAATTGGATATTTGCCGGTCATCAGTGCTGCTCTAGAAGGCGTGCAAAGGGCTGGTGTGTAATGGCTGTTCAGAATTAGGCCATTGTAGGCCAGTGCGTCGATGTTGGGCGTTGGGATCTGATTCGAACCGTGGAATCCCACGTCGTTCCATCCCTGAGACACGACGGAGATAAAAAAAAAATAGGTCAAGAGATGAGAGTCGGTTGAGTATTATTATGAAAGGACAACTGTCATCAGAAAAATCATTAGAATATATTCAACCTACGGTCTAAGAATGTTCGTAAATCTAATCAATAAAAAGGACATCAAACATTTTGGAGAACATTTTTATAACATTGCATTGGTTTGCAGGTTCCCGTGTGATTTAACTATGATTTTGTGTATTTAAAACGTCTACAGTTGCTTTATAATTGGACGTAACTAGTGCTGCATAGTGTGTGTAATGTCACGAGGGAAATTTTGCTCTAAATGAGATGTTTCCTCTATAATGAGAATATACTCTGTGTAGTGGAAAATCATGTGATCGTCACTACGATCGTAAAATCACCGTCTGTTGACTGGTGCGTCTTACCGCCCTTTTATTCTTCATAATTCCGTGCTCTGGCTGATCTTTAAGGATCGGTACCGATCGATGCATACCTCAATTAAGTAAATTCTGATTTATAATGATTCGCATTCAATTTCACTTAATTTTAAGATACATTGGTGGAAAATTGTTAAGTATGATTACACTTTGTCAAACGAGTTAAGGACGATGTTCGTCTTGAAATTTGATTCGTACCGCAGCTTACCATGTCATCGGCCAGCATGATGATGATGTGGGGTTTGCGGGAAGTCTTGCGGGCCTCTACTGTACAGCACGCAGCTACGGCAAACGCCATCAACAACATCTTCAGCCCCTGCTCTTCTTGGCGGCGTGTCATTATTAAGTGAAAACTGCAAAAAATAACAAAATTTCAATGTAAATTGGGCAATTTCAAGAGGGTTTTGAGGAAAAAATTGTTCAGTTCTGTTATACCTATACCTGTGTTTATTGGCGGTTTTGGTCCTAAGAAGCAAGACAGAAACAGCCATTGTTTGAGTCAAAAAATAAATGACAAAGATTACGACTTAAAAATGAAAGGAGAAGGAAAAAAATAAAAGTACGGAGAAAAATCAATATTAGAAGAGGAGGAAAAAAGGAATGCAGAATAGAAAGTGGGATAAGAAGAAAAGGCAAGAGAAGCAGGAAACAATGTTTAGAGTAATAAATAGAAACAAGCTGCTGGTTCCAACACTACTGTGTTGGAGAGCTCGCCTTTGGGAAACTATTAACAAATATTAATGATTTTTTCTGAAATTGTATATGTATTAAATGAATCTTTACCCAATTATCAGAGGTTACATGCCGATGCAAAATGTTATGACGTAATTTCATATGACAAATTTTTCACATTACAATAAATAAAGAGAAATAAAGAGAGAGAAATGGAATTATCTTTTATGAATGTGATTTTGCGGCAAATGTTGCAATGGCTATTTTTGCCATCGCATTTTTGTTTCTGGCTTTCATCGTTGATAAGCTTTTTCTTAACTTGTCAACAATGTAATGAAATCATATGATTTAATTTTAATTTTTTTTTTTAAATCAAGTCGCCAACTTGAATTAAGGTTATACTTTGTTAAGCTGGCAGTCTGGAATTCTGAATTTTTATCGGCACAGAGTTCAAAGAAACTATAATTTAGCACGGTTTGGAGGAACGTTTCTGCCATAATTCTTACACAATACTTATGGTATACACTAAGAGCTGAAAAGGAATTCACTTGAATTTTAGCGTGGAGCTCGAGAGACCACTTCAAGCCTTTGTATGCGAGTGGCTCAATGGAGCACATCACGCCTTTGTAGGTATGGGGTGGCTCAATGGAGCACCTCGCGCACTATAAATAGCACGGAGCTCGAAAGAGCACTTCATGCATCTGTATTTTAAGGTTAAAACGAACTCTAAAGAAACTCAATGCGAGGCTCAAACGAATTCTCAAGCATTCTAAATGCGAGGCTCAAACGAATTCCCAAGCATTCTTGATGCGAGGGGCTCAAACGAATCCTAAAGCATTCTTAATATGAGGTTTAAACAAACTCTGAAAGGATCCCAATGCGAGTCTCAACCGAGCTCTCAAGCATGCAATTATTTTGAGGTTAATTAACCTTCTATGGTACCAATAACGGCAATCTTAAGGATTATCCATTAATTATGCGCAAATCTCAATCTTAGTCTTAGTACCTTAAAATTAATTGAACAAATTATTAAATCACGTCGAGGTCACCATGTTTTTTATTTTAAGAAATAATAACAATTGCAAGTACAACTGCACACAAAAACTGCATTGAAAAGATAAGAGGATGATAACATACAATCAGGTTATTTGATATAAAACCATAGCAACATGCTATGATATGCTCGGCCACTGGAAAGTGCTGCTCTCTAGTGTAGCAAACGAGGAACAATTAATCCTCAGTTGAATGAGGGAACGGAAATGTTCGACGGAGGAAAACTGTAACCCGCGAAAATTCAACTTTTAGACCTTGAAATCAATGGGATTTTGGCCGTTCCTCCGACGGCAACGAGAACCATCCATTCGTCGCCACGGACACTACCAATGCTAAAAGAAATCGATCGCAAAGAGCTCTCCCGAGTGGGCGAGCTCAAAAAGAGCATTTAATGCCAATGGAAATTGAAGAAAAATCATGAAATATCAGAATTCGGTCCTCGCAAGTAATACTGAATAACTATGACTTTACACTCAGACAACTTTAAATTGGCCTCATTGAAAAAAACAAGTAGAAAACAAATTTAGAAAAAAAACCTTGACTGCGCCTAACTTAAAGCTCCATTTGTAACTCTTTGACTCCTCAGCCCCAAAAAACTTTAAGTATACCCAAAACGGGTAGCTGTAGTATAATTCTTACATTCAATCTAATAAAGAAGGGGGAAACTGTGAACTCTCTTTTCATTTTTTTAAATAGATCTGACTTACTTCAGCTCTGGAAAACGTAGTTCAATCAACAAACAGCAAATACCTCATTCACTGAATGCACCAACGTTAAATTCATTCCTCTTTTTTTTCTTTTTAATCGCGGAACCTTGCATGAACGCCGTTCACCCGTAATATTAACGACGCGTTAAAACTTGGCCTTAGTATTCAAATCCGCATTTAATTTCTGCGCGGGACGCATTGTCACATGGTACATGATATTGTCACAGGACTGAACGAGAGCTTAGATAAGTCATTGGGGACTGTGAGACGAATGGTCGATTGTTGGGTTATATTTGATCGTAATGTTTGCGTTAATTGAATCTACCCAACACTGATTGATCTTGTACCCAAATCACAAGGAGTGGAAAAGAATACATCCTTAGAATCCAAGGTCTTGGTAATGTACTTTTACCTGATGCAAATGGGAGGAATGTCGATCGTAAAGTTTGTCATTTGTCGTCCGTAATTCAGGGAGCGATCGAATTGTCCTCAATGCCGTTAAATTTGCATGATTCGGTTCATAATGGCACGGTCTTCACAATGCCAAGATAAGTGGTTAAGCCTCTAGGAGTACCTTAAAATTTGCCCTTTCTCCCAAGGTAACCTATGAATGCTCTTAAAAATATTATTCCATATTTACATCATCAGTCGCATTTACTGACTGAATACATTATATTAGTGTTATTGCACCCTTGTGCTAAATTTTAATGGCGCATTGGATTTAAACTGTTTACAAACAGCGATCTGAGACAATTATTTCATCTTGTCCTTATTCAAATTTTTACAGTCTTTGGAAACCCTCAAATCCCAAAAATATAACTCTTTCACTCACTTCTAGAGATAAAACCTAGCACAAATATTCCAGGAATAAAATGTTTTATAAATTACCCGATGTGCTTGAAAGGTTTCGTGTTGTGTAATTTAGCCGATTGATTTATTACGGTCGATGGTAGCTTAAATGGGCCCGAATTCTGATGGAACCTAAAAATTTCAATTTTATTTTCACCTTTGAACCAATCAATTTGTTTCTTACTTCCTTTCATGCGTCGTTAGATTGATCGCAATCGACTTTTTCTTCAGTGTAGATGAAATTTTTTTTATTGAAATTTCTTACAATTTAATGTGTAAATCAAGTTTATACTAATGAATATGGACCCACCCGATATAATGAGAATTTGACTCGGTGGTAAACAGGCGCACAACTCGTTCTTGTCAAATCTCCGCCGATCAAATGATTCGATTCAAAGACCCATTGAGAATGGCCAACAATAATTGGTTACGGTTTTCTTCACATATCGGCTTCCCTCACCAGATATCAATCCACGAATTGCTAACGTGAATCTCATATGCACTTTTTTCTCATTTTTAGGTCAGTAAGTGCGGGGGCCGCAGTCCGAATTTCAAAAAGGCGATGTTGAAATACATTGAAAAATAAAGCGTTGTCCAGAAAATTGACAATGCTGCGATCACTTCGGAGCTAGTATACTTCATCGGCACAGTGGTAACGCTGGAATTGAGGTATAGAGAAAAAAACCAAGTGTCCTAACTATCCGTCACACTCGACGAACCTCCCCCCCCCTAAAAAAAAAAAAAAAAAAAAAAAAAAAAAAAATCCATCATAAGCCTGGATGCTACTATTCGATTTTCACGTTGTTGCATACTTGCGGAAATGAAGGCGTTTTGACTCTCCTGACTTAAAACTTGATTCCAGAATTTACGCAGATCAACAAGAAGGACCGAAGACAGTAAGGATAATTAAATTATCTCGAACTGCCTTCGAGGCATCGATTGAGTACCCAGAGGTGAACAATAGGAACTTAACGTAAGCCTAGAACATCGAAGCTTTCATTGGCGAGGGTTTACGGTTTTGTTATGACGAGTGTCGTGAATGAAACGGAACTGGCCGGCCTCGGCTCATTAATTCAAGTGTCTCGCGCGCCAGTGCATAACATTCGCGTGGCGCCTTACGCGATGAATCGATTGATGTGTCATTTAAACCCATAGAAAAGGATCGATTATTTAGGCATACCTCAATAATAGATTTTTTATCATGGTTTCAAATGGTTGATTATCGATATGCGATAGTTTAAGTCTCGCCACTGGTGTGTGAATTGAAGTCCAGGGTGACCGATCATTGCTCTGCATCACTGCTATACGTCTTTACATTGCGGTACAATCAGTGAGACATTTGCGTTTGTCACCTCTCCATGCAGGATGAAATCTGTTATCTGATTTTTCAGCTCAGCAATTCAAGACGGATGCAGCAACTATGTGTACTAAAACACTGGAAAAAAAACACATTGGATCCAAAGTCCAGACTCTTGAAAACATTGTCAACAAAAAATACTCTTGATTCAATCACATTTTTGCTTAAATCAAAAGGTAATCTGTTCAAATTAAGAGGCTTGGTTCTTGATTTAAGCAAAACTCCGATTAAATAAGAGAGTATTTTTTCTTGTCTATGTTTTTAAGAGTCTGGACTCTAGATCCAATGTGGTTTTTTTCCAGTGAATCCGAATGAAAGAGGCTAATCTGCTATTCATATGCTAAAAGGAACTATGTGCATAGGGTTCGCGTGCAACATAGTTCCTTTTAACATCAACACGTACAAATATTAAAAGAAAATGCAGCAGACTGCGTTTTCCTCTTTGGTGGGTTCCGACTGATAGACAGTTTCATTGCGAGGTTGGACTTCGACGAAAATGTGCCTAAGATGACGTGAACTTAATATTTTATAGGAAGCTATGCACACTGGTTAGACCCAAAACATGAACACTCCTGTTGTAAGGGGCTTAAAAGTTTTCCCAAGATGCGATTGTATAAAACACATCTTTGGATGATCTTATGGGAAGCAAAAACTGTAATCCATATATTCTTTATCGAAATAAAAGTGATTTCGTTTCCTATTGTGACAAAAAACT